GATGATGATGATGATGATGATGATGATGATGATGATGATGATGATGATGATGGTGATGAGGGGGATGATGATGACGAAGTCTCCCAAGAGTGAACGGTGCCACGAGCCATCTCGACCCAGTTCTTGACTCCGTGCCTGGGCTTCGCATGGGGCTCTTCGGCCTCCCTGACGCTTGCTTGGCACTCTCTGTCGGATTTGGCTCGCTAGCCATCTCCCGGGCCTCTTTGGGCCCTGACGTGTTTCGCTCTTGCAGCCCTCCTGGGGGCCTCTTGTTGTGCCATCTTCGAGCCGTCTTGGACGGTCTTGGAGCAGCCTTGGGGCCGTCTCGGGCCGTATTGGGCCGACGCTCCACATGATGTGACGAAGATGATGATAATGATGGTAATCATGATGATCAGGATGATGATGATGATGATGATGATGATGATGATGATGATGATGATGCTGCTGCTGCTGATGCTGATGATGATGATGCTGATGATGATGATGATGATGATAATGATATGATGATGATGGTGGTGATAATGCCGATGATGCTGCTGATGATGATGAGGATGATGCGGATGATGATGATGATGATGATGGTGATGCTGATGATGATGATGATGATGATGCGGATGCTGGCGATGATGACGATGCTGATGATGACGATGCTGATGATGATTCGGATGATGATGCTGCTGATGATGTTGATGCTGCTGATGTTGGTGATAGTGATAAGGATGCTGATGCTGCTGCTGCTGATGATGGTGATGATGATGATGTTGATGTTGATGATGATGATGATGATGATGATGATGATGATGATGATGATGATGATGATGATGATGATGATGATGATGTTGTTGTTGTTGTCGTCGTCGTCGTCGTCGTCGTCGTCGTCGTTGTTGTTGTTGTTGTTGTTGTTTTTGCTTATATGGGTGGCGATGAGGATGATCACGACGCCAAGAGGTAGCCAATGCAGCCCCAAGAGCCGCCCAAGACTGCCCAAGACGGCCTCAAGATGGCCCAAGAGGTGTCCAAGACAGCCGAATACGCCCCAAGACGGCCCAAAAGGCAGACAAGACGGCCCAATAGGGCCCTAAGAGGCTCCCAGGAAGCCGAAAAGAAACCCCTAAGAGTCTCCCAAACGGCCCCCAAGAGGCCCTAAGTGGCTTCAAAAATGCCTCCAAGAGAGGGGTTGCGGACGAGAGACGAGAGGCTTATGGCAGGCCCCAAACAGCCGGCCCCATGACGCCCTAGGTGGCTTCGAAATCTGTCTCCGTGGGAGGGGGGCAGACGAGATGCGAGACGCAGATTGCAGGCCAAGAAGAGCCGCTTTGGACGCTCCGAGAGCCTTGGATGCTCGCCTTCTGGGGAGCGTCGTCATAGCGTCCACGATTGGCGATCGGAGATCGAGCAGAGCTTCTCGGCACCACCTCCGCCCCGACCCCCCAAGCAATATCATAGAACTTGTCGTGGCCGTAGGCCACGGGTCAGCTCTAGTCAGCTACAGTGCTGGGATCAGCGCTTGCGAAAAGGGCAATCAGTGGCAGCGGGCTTTGGCGCTGCTCAACGAAGCGCGGGAGGCGAAGCTGGAGCTCGCGGTCATCAGCTACAACGCTGGGGTCAGAGCGTGCGAGAGGGGCGGGCAATGGCAGCGGGCTTTGGCGCTGCTTGGCGAGATGCAGGAGGCGAAACACGATCCGGACAGCATCAGCTACACCGCTGGGGTCAGCGCGTGCGAGTTTGGCGAGCAGTGGCTACGGGCTTCGGCGTTGCTCAGCGAGATGTGGGAGATGACGTTTGACCAGCTGCAGCGACGGAGCTAGGGCGTGCGATCAATTTGGGCGGTAGCATCAGGCGTTGCCATTGATAGGTAATTTCTGAAAATGCAGGTGGAGCTGGATACAATCGCTTCACAGCGCTTGGATCTGCATGTGCAAGAAGGGTGGTGAATAGCAGCAGCCGTTGTCATTGTCTAGCGGGTGGTGGAAGGCTAGGTGCCAGTTCCGATGGCACTCAGTTCCCTGTCGCACAGCGAGGTGGACACCTTGCGACACTGCCTGACGTTGGAGCCACATCTTCGCCTAGAGGTCCGTTCCGCGAGCCCCGAACCGAATGTCTTTCACCAAGCACCAACGAGGTCCTGGCGACGCTCGGCCGCGGCAGGGGGCGGATCGCCTGAAGAAGCCTGCGTCCGAATTGCAGGCCAAGCTCTCCGAGGATCATAAGCTGCAAGAGGCGGTAAGAAGCGCCGCCTCCGCCGCGAGCGCTCCGCTGCCCTTGACACATTGACACACATGCCCAAAGGGCACGTGGCAGTGCGGGCCGACGAGGCCTGGCGGCCTGTGAGACCGGTGCCCGGGGGGGACGCGGCGGGGCGCGCCGGGCTTCCCGGCCTTCTTTTGTCTCAGCTTTTTTACCCCGCCTTCCCATGGCTGAGCGTATCCGCTGGCCAGCGCCCGGGCTGACCGACGTATGGCAATTCGCGAAGGGATGAAAAGGTATGAATACATGAAGATATAGAGGAAGAGGCGGAGGAGGAGAAGGAGGAGAAGGAGGAGGAGGAGGGAAAGGAGGGGGAGTTGGAGGAGTTGGAGGAGTTGGAGGAGGAGGAGGAGGAGGAGGAGGAGGAGGAGGAGGAGGACGAGGGAACGGAGGGGGAATTGGAGGAGGAGGGGGAGGAGGGGGGAGGAGCAGGAGGAGTTGAAGGAGGAGAAGGAGCAGGAGAGGAGGAGGAGAAGAGGAGGAGGAGGAGGAGGAGAAGGAGGAGGGAAAGGAGGGGGATTTGGAGGAGTTGGAGGAGTTGGAGTTGGAGGAGGAGGAGGATGAGGAGGGAAAGGAGGGGGATTTGGAGGAGTTGGAGGAGGAGGAGGAGGAGAAGGAGGAGGAGGAGGAGGAGGAGGAGGGGGAGGAGGGGGGGATGAGCAGGAGGAGCAGGAGGAGCAGGAGGAGGAGGAGGAGGAGGAGGAGGAGGATTGTCTCGGATTGTCTCGGATGTATCCTTAGTCAGCGGGTCGTGCACTCGCACCTCAGCCCCTAGGGGGGCGGGGTCTGGCCGATGCGGGTGTCCGCCGCGCAGACTAAAGCTGGGGGATGACGGATAGCCACGGTACTGAGGTGCTTAGTGAGGAACACCCGTCGATGTTCCACCTCTTTATCGATTTCGCTGGCCGCCACCCCCTCCTCACCCCATGCCCCAAAGTGATCCTGTCGAATCGGGGCTCCTACGGGGTGGCATCCCATATTGGGGGAGCGAACTTGCCGCAGCAGTGGTCCGCAATTTGACTCCTGGCGTGCACTGCCCAGCGGTTCCCCTCCGGGGAGGAAGCGGATCCCAAGGTGGGCCCGATTGCTTCCCCGCCGCTGAATTCAGGGGCTCTTGCACTTAGTGCAGGGACCCTGGCAGGTCGGGCAGACGCTGGGAGCTTCAGCCCCAGCGTAGGTGTGGCAAAGCGGCAGGGGCCCCAGCCCATGCAGGCAGCCTGCGATGCTTGCGTGCTGAGTGCCACTTCGGGGGGGACCCCCTTGTGAAGATGGCTGCCTCTCTGCACATACTAGCACCTGTGCCGCGCGATAGCGGCACAAACGGGGCGTCGCTCCATCAGGGTGACTTCCCCCTGCGAGGTTGGATGCCGTGAGCATTCCAGTCGCATGTTGATGCCAGTGGCCCGCGTAACGGTCTGGACGGCCGTAGTTTTTAGCAAGACCGCGAAAGCGACATGAAACCGGCTTTCTGGGTTGCCATCCCCGCTTGGCGATGGCCCCAGGATGCCACAACAAAGTGTGGCTATTTTTCCTCTGCTTGGTCAGGGCAGCAGGACGAGTGGCAGCAGAAGCATGGTAGAGTTAGCGTCTTGCGAGCATTGTTTAGGAAATCACCACGGGAGCGGTGCGATGATCCTTTTTCCTCACAGCGACAACGAGTACCGAATCGCATCCCTCTGGCGGTGGCCCGTTCAGGTCCACCTCCTTTTTGATTGGTTTTCGCTAGGGGCTGCAATGCGAAGTACTCTGCAAAAATTGCGGCCGCGAGAGGGGTAATCAGTCCCGCCCATGTCCCGCTCCACTCTTCGCTGCCGCTCCGTGTGCCTTCCCTTCCCCACGACACCCTCAACAGCGAACCCTCTATAGGGATATATTTACAGAAAGTCGTCTATAGGGACCAGCTCTTCCAGTACCTGCGCGTTCCCTCTCTTGTGTGACGGATGCTGGCCGTTACGAATTCTGTTCAAATTCTCTCTCGTGTGGGCGCTGGCCGGGCGTGTATTGCAACGCTTGCTGAGGTTGCTAATGCGCACTCCCTCCGAAATGATTTCATGTAGACGAACAAAATGCCGTCCGGAGTAGAAGTGACGAACAGCGCGTGCCCGCGCCTTTCGCGCACCAGTTCGCTGAGTACTGCATTGTGCCCTGCGCAGGGGAAAGCTAGAAAAGGCGGGTCTCTGCGAGTTCGCCTAAGGCACTTCTGGCACGCCCATCTGTGCCTGATCCACTTGAATTGGTGCCCATTTGTAGGTGGGAGTAACGGAAAAAGCGAGCCTCTTCTGGCTTCCTCTGGAATTGCTGGGCCCGAAGGTGTCGCGGGTCTGTGAGGAATGGCTGCTGGCGCTGCTGGCGTCCTATGCGGACCTGGGAGAACGGCCGATGTCTCCACCTGGCCTGCACGCGTGTGCGGGCCATTTCTCCCCCAACCACCCCCTGTCCTCGACATCCTGCCGAGTTGGCGGGGCGTTGGTGGTTCTGGCAATGCGTCCCGGGCCGACGCGGCCCCCATCGTAAAACAGGGGGCCCGCAAAGCCGATTTGAAAGTAGAGCGCATCTTTTTAGACGGCGCCAGCCTCGGGTACAACAACAGACACTTAGCAACGTATCGAAGGTACCGCTGCAAAGTGGATGCGTTTTCGGCATGGGCCTCCCTTTCCGCGCTGGAGGGTTGCGCCAGGGACGCCGCTCCTAACTTGGCATACCGGTCGGCGTAATCGTTTCCCGTCGCCAGGAACCACTCTGGATTGAGGCTCCAGCTGGTCCAGATCTACATGCGCCGCCACTTTGCGGATGGTGAATTCAGCATCCCAAGCTGGCGATGCACGTATTTTTTATGCGCATGCCCGCGTAGATATGATGCCGAGAGGCGACGGCTGTCCAAGGGGCGTCGGACAGCTGGACTAGACCAAGAAAGTCAGAGTGAATGCCAATTGCGTCAGGACAGTGCTCCATTACGGCTAGGGCTGCTACATGCTCTGCCGCAGGGCACGTCTGCGGGTAATGGCTTCCAACCGCACCCCATAAAGCGGCAAAGATGTCGCCCCCCGCTGTGAGCTTGACTGCTGCCCACCCTGCTACGTGAAACTCCTCGGGCCTTTCCTTGAGGCACGATCCGTCTGTGAACACCTCCCCGCGAAATGCCTCCTTGACACTCAGTGCGGGTCCGCGCACCAAAACTTAAAAGGTCTAGTGCCTGATCCACTTGGTGGCTGGACAGAAAAACCTGGCAACTCCAGGGCCCCGCACACCAGGGGGAAGTTGCGCCGGCGGTCGCTGAGGATGGTCACGTCAATGGGCTCCAACATGTCGGCCCTGAGCGGGGCCGACAGCGGGCAGTGGTGGAGCCTGTGAGAGAGATGGTCCACTGGGGACCCGCATGCGCAAATGGAAGATGCCTCGTACCCTGCTTGCTGGAGCTTGTGTCTTGTGGAGGAGGAGGAGGAGGAGGAGGAGGAGGAGGAGGAGGAGGAGGAGGAGGAGGAGGAGGAGGAGGAGGAGGAGGAGGAGGAGGGAGGAGGAGGAGCCAGATCGCGCGCGGCGTGCTCCCCTCGCGGCGCCCAGCGCCGTGACTTCTCTCGCAGCGTGGACGCCCGAAATCCCGAGCCTCCTGCCCGGGGGGCCGGCTCTCCAGCCCAAGGCGGTCTCTGACCCCAGGGCCCACCAGCCAAGGGAACCTACGGAGGCCGAGCACGGGCCGAGCTCCGCCGCCGTGGTTCGATGACGCGTAGGAGTGAGCCCCCGCGTTGGAGTGACCTTTGGTGCGGGCTGAGCTGGGTCCCCTCGATCGCCCTGCGCGACGCGATAGCGGCGGTCGGAGCGCCTGGATTTGGCCACGTTGCGCCTCCGTAGTCCGCGCACCAGAGGTCACTCTTACCCAGGGTCACTCTTGCGGGTAGTCTAGTCGAGTGGTCTTTTTCCATCATTCGCGGGAGGGGGTGGGCTCGGGAGCAAATCATGGGAGCCGTGTGTACCCTCGAGAATGCTGTCTCTAGACTCTAGGGTGTATTCGTGTCGGTCCGCTCCTGGTGGTCGGTGGGATAGCGCCGATTTAGCGTCGATAGTCGTCGATTCGCGTCGATCTAGCGTCGATTGGCAGCGTCGACGGGCGTCGATTAGTGCCGATTCGCAAGAGCCATCTAGATGGTATGGGAGGCTCCCATAAGTTGCCACCGAACCCGTGGCGGATGCCTCCCCTGAGATCCTGGCGTCGCATTTGTTATATCGGCGTTTTCGCAATTTCGGGCCCTGGGACCCTCACAGTTCGATCCGGATCAAAATCCGGGGTCCGGGGCTCCAGTCGTGATTTTCCAAGGTGTTACAATTTGTTCGTGTCGTCGGATCTCGGGGCCTCTCCCTGCATCCCATGGAGCCCATTTTGTATTTCTCGCGATAGCGGCTCTTGGGGGGGAGTCCCCGGGGGGAGGGGAGGGGGCGAGAGGGTCGCAAGCGTCATGATTTGCGTCGGCGCCGTTTTGGAATTGAGCTCGTAGCCATTCCCAAACGGCGCTGGCGCGAATCGTGACGTTACTAGGTGTTGGTTCCCTGCCTCATTCCTTCCAAGCCCTGGTCTCGGTTTTCCATTGGCGCAGTCGTGCGACCGCCGCACCAGCACCCTCGCCAAGCGAGGCGGCATGCGGGCGGGAGAACGCAAGCCCTCGGCAGCCTGAGCCGAGGGATGGCTGATGGCGGATTTGGCGACGAGGGAGCCATGTTGGATGTCTGGGAGACACCTGCAGCAGGGAGGCTGGCGGGGGCCGTCCCCGGTGGCGGGCGGCATCGCGACCCGATGCAAAAGATGAGCTCCTCGGGGCTTCTGCGAGTCGGGCGTTGCCGAGCCCGGGCGCCCGTGATTTCCCTCCGAGCGAAAGGGAGAGGAGAACGCGGCATGAGCATACAGGGTCAACCCGCATAGTGAGCACGAGCAGAGTTCCAAGGCTTACTTGTTGGATCCTTCCCCTTCAGGCCGTCGTTGGCCGCTTTCGCTGGCCGTGCCCCGCTCGCGAAACGTCGACACGGCCGTCCGAGGCCCTTTCACCCTTTGTCGTGCGCCCCTCTTGTACGGGTTTTGACTGTAAGCTCTCAGAGCTCCGCCAGGATTTCGGGGTCCTCCTCCTCCTCCTCCTCCTCCTGCTCTCAGAGTAGAGGAGTGGAAGAAGAGGCTGGAGGAGGGGAGGGGGGATGGTGGTGGTGGTAGTGGTGTACGTTTCTTGCATCCGCACCTTCCGTTGGGGCTCCCCGGGTCCCCCCCGA